CTGAAGCCGGCAGCTGCAGTGAATGTGAGAGTCGTCAGTTAATAAAATAAGTGGATTAAGGATTTTGGAGGTAGAACCACGAACACACAGTACGGTAATGAAAAGCAAAGGGAGAGGATATTCAGAAACAGGATTTCTCAATCAACGAGCAATGCAATCGCGATAAAATGTTATCCTATTTTATTGAACGACTGGGCAATGTTTGTCTGTAGTTCGAAGGTTTGCTTTTATATTCCTTTGTATTCGATTGCTTGTGACAAACAATGAATCTGGACCAGTTTCAGGAATCATAGGATAAAAAAAAATAATTCAAGACTTGATCTTTTCCGATTTGCATGTGCATTATGCGCGTTGTCGACAATCATTCACAATTTTGCATAAAATCGGCCATTTTGGATCTTGTATTTTTTTTTTTCAAAATGGCGTATTTGATATTTTTAATAAATTTTAGCACTAAAACGTCACTTTTTATCGATTCGACGTACGAGACCAAGCTGTTTTGAAAATTAAAGTAATTTTGAGAAAAATGTTCAGTTTCAGACATCATTTTGATCAAAATTGACGTTTTCGTGATACGACTTATTTAAAAATTACAGACTTCATTTTTGAAAAAAAAAAATACAACATCAAAAAAGGGCAAGTTGTTGAAAAAATATGCATTGTTTTATGCAAATCGGAGAAGGTCGAGCTTTTCCGATTCGTCATTTGACGTGGAACTGCTCTCTGGCTAGTTTTGTCAGCGTTCTGCCAACACGTCCAAGTGGAATCTTATTGTTTGTGGTAAATTACAGGAAGGTTAGATTTTCTCAATCAATCTTCAAGAGCATCAATATAAGAAGTAATTATATAAAAAAAATTGTTCCCCACGTTTGGTGAAGTGTAGCAATGGTCAGCCATCATGACGGCCATTTGATAAACTATAAGCAATTAAAAGAGTTTTTTTAATTTGACAGTGGTATGAGTATGTTATAATGATATCCAAACAAACATATTGACGAGAACACAGTGCACCGATGAATTCGGGTTCATGAACTGAAAAATACGGGAGATTTGTGCTGCGTTTCCATTTATTACGAGTCATCACAGCCCCACCCCCTGTCAAATTTTATTAAAAGAATGAACTCGAATTCATATCTGAGGAGCATGCATCACTACTTTGACAAATAAATGAACACAACTTCGTAAAACTGTGTCCAACAGCCTAATTAAGAACCCATGTTCGTATTACAATTTAAGTTTTGTTACTTAGAATTACGTCTTTCGGCTACATATTAGAGGTGCAATTTCAAAAAACCAAAATCAACCGCGTTACGAAAAGTGGTCAGGTTATGACCACTTATAATTCTGTCATCTAGATTTTAATTCTAAACAAGCCAATCGATTGGAATTTTTTCTACAAATCCGCTAAAATGAACGCCGTATCAATTTTCGATAGGTGTCCAACTGTTCAATGGTGATCAAAATTATCACCGATTGCCTGCAAAAAGCGCTTTCCCTAACACAGATTTCAAAATCGAATTCCATCACCGTATGTGGTGGTGTCTGGTCGGTCGTCATCAGCAGCAGCAGCAGCAGTGCTTTCGTCTCGTGGTGTTGAACATTGTTATCCAGTACACAACGAAATGCTACTCGCAAGCAGCGAGCTGCAGCCCACAAGCGCATCTTCCTAGTTCCAAACAACATACAGCTCGCCAGCCTCACCTGTGTTGAACACCCTAATAAAGGCTGACTAAAAGTTAATTGGTACGCACAAAAAGACCTGTTATTCATGATTCAATAAATTTAAAAAGTCCATTAATAGTTGCTGTATAGTACTTTTAATAAAACTTCAAAGTTACAACATTAGATGGTTACATTTCTCCAGTTCGAACGAAATCTCGAACCTTCCTCTTGATGGAGCCCATCAGCGCCCGCACTGTGGAAACGGACACGGAATCAGTGCATTTCTTCCTTTTTGCCCGCATTTGCTGGATGTACTTGACTGCCCCTTCGCTGCGTCGAAGTCGCCGCTTTGAAATTGTCCAGTATTTTTCGATTGGTCGAAATTCCGGGTAATTCGGACGATTCATTAGCTTGGGGACAAAATCGATCTTGTTGGCAACATACCACTCCAGAACCACCTTGGAGTAGTAGCAGCTTGCGGATGAACGGCAATACACGCTTTTTCAGGCATTCTTCGATGTAAACTTGGGATGTCATCGTCGAGGATGTGACGAATGGTTCCGTTTTCAGGCCACAACTGCAAATATCTTGCCAAATCATGGCCTTCTTCGTGAGCTTGTCGGCAAACACAAACTTGAATCTTCCCGGCACATCGCTACGTCCAGTCGCGATGTAAAACTTTTGACCGGGAAGCTGCTTAAAATCGAGTTTGACGTATGTTTCGTCATCGATCAAAGTGCAGCCCTTGTGTTTCGTGAAAACACGGTCGGTTGCACGCTTTTTGGCCACGGAATACTGCTTCATGTACCGGTTCGGATGTTTACTGGCTTTGTACGACTTGTATCCTTCCCTGGCAATGATGTTCCGCACCGTTTGAAAGTTGGCGTTGTACCTTCTGGTCACATCTTGGATCGAAAGACCGAGGTTGACTTTAACGCACCTCACCTGTTTCCATTGAAAATAAATGCATAAGATGGCTAGATAGAACATTGGGATGTTCTACATATTTAGCTGTGAGTCCATCAATTATCCAAATTATGACCACACAATAGTTGCCGGTTTCCACCGCTGGGTGTCGCTAGTAACTTCGTTGAACGAACGACGCAGCTAAAGTTACGTCGATAAGTGAAGGGCGCATCTCAAATTTTAGAGAAACAATTCAAAATATCCTATCTGCATCGATCGATTCTCTTCATCGACTTTTTCTTCCATTAATAACTCAGTAGCAAAACCTTTCCCTGTTGTATTTGACGTTTATGACGCTAAATTATAACCTCCTTTATCAAACTATGTGGTCCAACGAGCGTGAAGTCGATGAAGATAATGTATCAAAGCAGATAGGACCTTTTGAAATGCTCATCGAGAAATTATTTATTACTTTTGAGGATCGATAGATAGAGTTCTGGATTGTTCTACAAAGTTGTCAGATTATCAACTAATCTACCTTATGATAGCATTATTCACGGTTCCGGTTTTCTAAATTCCAAGATGGCGACTTCCGGTTTGTGGAAAACTGTGAAACACCCAAGAATATCAATGTTTCCGGAACGGGGACGATGTGTAGAGGCTTAGAATTTCTACGAAGTTCTTGAAATTGCTTGGAAGTTCTGAAAAGTTACGAGAACTTTACAGATGTAAGTCTCGACCACCTCAGTCAGGTGCGCTTCTGGGACTCCAGCAGGCCGCTTACCGATTGCAATTACACGGGGCAGGAAATGATCACACTTGACACACAGAAAAAACTCCACATGCACTTCGCTATTCAAGTTCAAAGATTTATGCCTCTTTCCTGACACAACTTTTATTCTCCGTCTTGTGTTTCCTTACTCACTCCCTTCTTCTTCCACTTTCTTTTAATCTATCTAACCTTCTATCTTCGTCGGGGCACCACGTATCTTCGATCATCGACCGCTTGTCTTCGGTCGTCGTTCGCTTCCTCTCTACTTCCTCTTTGTTTCTCCTGTCCTTCGCTCGCTTGCTATAGTTTTACGAGGTGGCGATGGCGATCACCGGGTTACACGTCTTGAGCCTACGAGTTGGCGACGCACTTGGGCCGGCAGGCAGGGACAAGGTAATCTTCCGGAACTTCACACTGTACAGTGGATCTTTACTAAATACAGCGGGGTACGGCTGTCCTTCTATCCGTCACTCTCTCCTCACACTTTTCGCTGTTATCTATAGTTTCCACTATTAATTTTCACTTTCGAAAAGTGTTATGCTTGACATCCCAAACTTTTTACAAGTTCGTTCACTGTCCAAATCTAGCTAGCTTGCTATGATCAACCGTTTTAGCTGGTAGTTTTATATTTGGAAGTTGAGTGAGTCGGTGGGTCACTGCTCCAAGTTGTCGGCCATTGGTCATTTTTCGCCAGTTTGTCGTGCCCGTTATCGTCCATTCAAAATGGCCAACTCTATCGCCACCCCTCTGGCCTCCCAACGGGCAGTTGTTCGTTCATCTGGTGGCAGGTTTTGCAAGTTTCGGTGGGGTGGATGGCTGCGTTTTACGTTAAACTGTGCCATCTGCTATATCCTACCAAGTAGTATGCCAATAGCCAAAACTACACATCACTCACGAGCACTACCTGCCACTATTTTTCGACAATTTAACGGAAACTAAGAACCATGTTTCATGTTTCTTCGAATTTCACGAATATATCAGGCGTAACATTTGAAAACGGCATAAAAACCAAAACAACATAAATGAGTTTATGCTAACATTGTATTCATAATTTATTGAACTATTTACCGTATTAATCTGCTTCCCTAAAAAGAATGATAATAAATCAGATTAAACAAAAAAATTAAATGGCATAAAAGCAATTGCCCCCAATTGCACAATACGCCCTTTGCTTCAGCTAAAGTCGCAAAAGCATTCTGTGTCATGTTTGACACATGATGGTTTTTACGCCCTCAGCTGTTTGAGATGATTGTTTGTCACAGTCGTCGAAGTGACACAGCAACAAAACAAATCATTTAAAGAATTTCCTGTACCACGCAAACATGGATCTTTCTGGCATTGAACTGTTGTTAAGTTAGTGTTTTTTTTTTACATTTATGTGCGCTGCCTAGATATTGGTGGTCATTCTGACGTTCTTTTATAGTGTCTCCTTCTTGTCCGTTTCCTGGTGAATCCATAATATTATCACGGATTCACTCAACACAATTTGACTTAGTCTTTTTCTTTTTTGATAGTCGTGTCATTACAAAGTGTTCGATTATAGTTTTATAAAATTATTGTATTCCTATGGAACATGCTCCTCGGCACAGAAAATCACATCGCAGCTTTGGCATAGACGGCAATGATGTTCAATTTTGAAATAATATTTATCTACTTACAGGAGCGTCAGAACTGACGGCATCCAGCTCTGTATCCAGAGTACCATCTGTAGCTGCATATGTTATTGTGAAAACAGACGAAACGCAGATGCTAGATTATAATAATGTATCATTCCGCTGCCCTACTTCGACCCCCGACACAAGCCGGAAAAGAAGTTTCGAAAATGAACCACTGGATTTAACCAACTCTGGTCCGTTGGATCTTTCATCCACGGTAAGCATACAATCGGAGCATACATTACCGGAACCGTCCCCCATGATTGAGCTGATCATCGACCAACCTGTCGATTTAACAGTGACTCGACGGGTGGAGAAGAACGTGCCGATTGATTTAGCAATGAAGCGACAAAATTCAACCTTCAATCCTGTCAGTTCATGGAACTGCACGCAGGTAGCTCAGAAACCTGGTTTCATTGAATCCGCTCCGGATGCCAAAGAATCACTCGTCGGATGTTCGTCAGCGGACGAAACCAACGTTGGATGTGGAATCCAATACCGGAAGAATCCATTACGAGATGCTCCAATAAGAAAATTTACCGCTTCGTTAAACGAGAATCTAGCACAGGGTATTCAAAATTCTGTAGTCCCAATGATTGCCTTAATTAATGAGGAGACCGAGGATGCTTCGAAAGTTCAAGAACCGCCCACCGAATGTCCGACAGCTGACGAATCCAACGTTGGATGCATAATACAATGTCAGAAGAATCCATCACCAGGTGCTCCTATGACCATGAGAAAATTGACCGCTTCGCTAAACGAGAATCACGCGCAGGATATTCAAAATCTTGTAGACCCAATGTTTGAATTAATTGATGACGAGGCTGAGGACGAAGAATTTGAAGAGAATGCTGACGTGGAAGGCCTCACGTAGCATTCCCTTATGGAATATTTTCAGCCTTTCCACTTGCAATCTATTATGAGCGACAGTGAATCGGACAAAGAGATCTTAGACGAGAACAATTATACTAAGGAAAACAACATCAAACATAACCAAGAATCTGATGACGAGAATGAGACGCTTGGTAAGTTTTATATTCACTTATAAATGTAGTTGATATTGGTTTGTGGTAATAATTTATTTTGGAGAGTCATTTATACTTTTTTATTCCATAATATATCATTAAACCTACCTTGGTAAGATTTGTTCTATGCCCTATCCTTGAAAAAATCACTTATGAAGAATAACTTTATAGTTTGCCGCAAAGGGAAACTTCTGGAAATACCACGCCGTCCACTTTCAACCATTGCAACATTTTCTGAAAATCATGTTGAAGCGTCCGATGAAGCCGGCGAACTAGTCAAGTTTAATGCTAAACGCAAACAAACAAAAATCGCTGCATGGAAAATTCGCCGGAACAGAAAGGAAAGAGGCTTGAAATACACTCGGATGGATGGTACAGTAGCTCCAGCACGAAGAGTAAAACGGGCATGTGGATGCGTTCGATTGAAATGCTTCTTAAAATACAACGACAAACTACGTAAACAGATTTTGTCTAATTTTCTAAAACTAAAATCATCGGGACAAAATCAGTTTCTCATCAGTCACGTTGCAGTGAGACCGGTGTGCAGAAGCAGAGTAAGTTATTATTTTAACTGGTTATAACAATAAATTTCGTCGTTCGTGTTAAATCTTGTATCTACCAAACGTTAGCTTTTGAAAGCCGTATTACCACATAAAAAAACGGCTTGGTTTTCATGTACAGATTTTTAAATTTTCCAATGGTATATGAGTGGGAGGTAAACTTTAAAACCAACTTTTCTTGAAAAATACTGAATAGCATTTATGGAAAAAGAACATGTGACCGACGATATATGTATCTAAAAGAGTACGACGATTTTATAACTTTCTCGATATCTTATCTCGTGAAAATACCTCGTTTGCTCAATCAACTATGTATGTTTACCCTGTAATGGCCTCAAGAGTCCATTTTGGTATTTCTCAAACTCTTAAAATTACGTTTTTACCTTATATTTTCTATTCTTTCAAGGTTTTGAATTCTAAACGAGTATACACTAACGTGTATGAGATGCCTGCACTAAACGGGAAACAGAGAGTTTGTAAGCAAATGTTCCTTAGTACGTTCGATGTGGGTGATAAGAAAATAAGATGGCTTGCCTCCAAAGCTATCAAGAATGCCGGAATATGCCCAGATGATCTGAGAATGAAGAATCGCAATCCGAACCGAATCACAGAAACGCAGCTAGATATGATCAAAGCTCATATTTTGTCGTTTCCAGCTTATGATTCACACTATACACGTGAAAAGTCAACTAAATTGTATTTATCTGACGATCTTACAATTATGAAAATGTATGATCTGTACAAGCATCCCACAAGTGCATTATAACACGTATCGCAGTGTCTTCAAAACTTTCAATTTTTCATTCAGAAAACCGAAGACAGACACGTGTGGCGAATGTGACGAGCTTAGAATGAAGTTGCAGATAGCCTGTGACGATTTTGAACGAGATATCGTGAAAAAATCACAAGAAGCTCACCATGAAGTAGCCACACGAGTCTATGCATCGAAGCGACAAGATATTGCCGACGCAAAGAACTCATCCACTGTGCGAACTGTGACTTTTGATTTGCAGAAGGTGCTTGCAACTCCGCATTTAAAATGCGGACAGTCATATTATTCTCGACAACTGTATACACTTAACTTAACCACATTCGAAACAAGTGATGGTTTCAATCAGGCAACTTGTTACATCTGGGATGAAAGCAAGGCCCGTAGGGGCTCTCAGGAGATAGCATCATGCCTTCTTAAAGATCTGCGAAGTACTAAGAAAGAAGTAACACGGTTGCAATATTACTCAGACAGATGTGGCGGTCAAAACCTTAACATAACGGTGGGCATGATGTTCACATTCTTCATTGACGAATGTGTCAATGCAAATCGAGAGCTCACTGTTGGGCACAGCCAACAGACACGAACGAACACGATTTTTCTTGTTGGCTCACTGCCAACGAGATCGACGGACAGACTGATTGTTGGCCACTGCCAACGATGAACACGAACTATGCTTCGTTGGCCCACTGTCAACGACAAGCGATGGAACGGATTGCTGCTCCCGGAACGGAGTGGGCACTAGTTCTGCTGGTGAAGCCACTTACCACACGATATCGGAAGTTCTGAAAAGAACTCCGATGAAATAAACTCTTTTGGAAAAGTGATAATGTGGAAACACGCAGCAGACAACTAGTAGGACCATGTCAGAGCAGGACGCTGACGACCGGAACTTCAAACAGCAAGCAGACGAAACCAATCAACAGCAGGAGCAAGCAAACTGGAAGACGTTTCTTCTTGAAATAATACTGCGAGAAACCTTTTTACTTGTTGTGGTTGCTTTATTCTTCAGGATGCAAGAAAGACTGACAAAGTTTTTGGTGCGTACTCTACTTTTAAACATTTTAATATTTCATCAGCCACTGCTGATTGGCTGTTACTGCGCAACGCAAAAAGGATAGAAAAGTGTACTATAAAATACAATCTTGATTGTGATTGGTTGTTGTCATGTTAGTAGGGAGGCCGTTTTCCCGCGGCTATCTCGGGGTTAGTAAAAAAAAAAAAAAGGATGAGGAGGAAGGGAGATTTTTTCTGCTGCTGATGCGTTGACGGTCGGTAAACTCAGGACGTTTACAGTGCCAGCGGCGGTGCAGGGTCGTCTCGAAACTTATTCGCTGTTGCGAACATCCTCCCCCACGCGATTCGATGATTCACCTGGAGATTCCTGATTGTTGACCTTAGGCTTATTGTCATCTATGGGTAGAATGGAAATTTTCGTTATCGGGCGTCGGTAAACTGTATCTCCCACTTTTACATCAACAACTCTCACTAAGTTGTCTTCGCCAGGGTGCGAGTGGACAATTCTTCCCAATTTCCACTGCTGTGGTGGCAAATTTTTATCTTCGAGTAAAACGACTGAACCGGGGTTAACATTGGGCTGACGAATCTGATTTTTACCCCTTGGTTGCAAACTAACAAGATAATCATGGACCCAAGACCTCCAAAAATGCTCTCTCATTAGCTGTAAATGCTGCCACCTGGACAACCGGTTTTTACTCAGGCCTTCATAGGAAGGCTCAGGAATAGCGGTAAGTGGTCTTCCGATGAGAAAGTGTGCAGGGGTAATTACTTCGCCTTCAGTTGGATCATCGGAATGGGAAAACAAAGGTCGTGAATTTAGAATTGCTTCCACTTGAGTAAGCAGCGTGTAGAATTCTTCGAAAGTCAACGGAGTTTCCTTGAGTATTCGCTTCAGGTGGTACTTTGTGCTTTTGACGCCAGCTTCCCACAAGCCTCCAAACTCGGGAGCATCTGGTGGAATGAAATGCCAAACAATTTCCTTGGTTTGGCAGAAGGATTCAATTTCATGAACAGCGGAGTGATCACGAAATAAGACAAAAACCTCATGTAGTTCTGTCCGGGCACCTCGGAAATTGCTACCGTTATCCGAGTGCAACTCTCTAACTAAACCTCTCCGACTGATAAACCTCTGTAGAGCGGCGATGAAGGCAGCCGTAGTCATGTCCGACACTAATTCCAGATGAATGGATTTTGTTACCAGACATACAAAAACCGCAATGTATGCCTTCACGAGAATTGGTTTCCTTACTCCATGCTTAATAATGAACGGCCCTGCATAATCGACTCCAGATACTTCAAAAGGAGCTGCAGGAGTAACGCGACTAACTGGCAAGCTACCCATATATTGAGTAACTCCCTTAGGTTTTATACGGAAGCATCGGACACATCCTCGTGTAATCTTCCGTACAGCCGATCGAGATCCCAGCAACCAAAAGCGTTGACGAAGAGCGGACAACAAACCAGACGGTCCGACATGGAGGTGTTCCTCGTGGTATGCTCGAATGAGAAGATCGGTCAAAGGGTGATTTGGCAAGATGTACTGGTGTTTCGTACTCAGTGGAACCCGGGAATTCTGAATCCGTCCTCCAACACGTAGAACGCCATCTTCCAGAAAAGGTCCTAGCATTCCGATTTTTCGACAAGGTTCTCCATTCTCAACCCTTTTTATATCGTCAATCAGTACATTTTGTTGGATAACCTTCACAATCGTATGGAGAGATGATCTTAGTTCGCCAATGGTAGCGAGACATTTCTTAACACGGTTCTCAGAAATTTTCGTTCTACAGTTATTTATGAAACGCTGTACGTACGCTAGTACACGTTGTAATTTACGGAATGAACTAAATTTCTTGAATAAAGGAAGATCGTCAGAATTTAGAACAGGCATCACAACTACCAGAGCGGATTTAAATTCTGGGAGTTGTTCATCGGGAATATTTTCAACATCAGGTTGATTGAAAGAAGTGGATCTCAAAAAATCAGGACCGTCCCACCATAACGAATTTGATTTCAAAACTCCTGGTAATTGTCCCCGGGAAACCACATCAGCTGGATTGTCTTTAGAACGTACATAATTCCACTCATTGTGACCATTCTCGACCGTGATTTCCAAAACACGATTGCGTACAAATGGTTGCAACATCGATGGGGGTTTTCGGAGCCATGCAAGAACAATTTGACTATCTGACCACAAGAACAGAGACGAGAAGTTTAATTGCATGGCAGGAATGGTTTTTTGGACAAGCTTCGATAGCAGTAAAGCAGCACAAAGCTCTTTACGAGGAATCGTCAGTTCATGGATAGGGGCAATTTTCGACTTGCTACGAAGAAGTCTCACCGTGATCACATCATTTGGTTGGACACAACGAACATAAAGACAAGCTCCATAGGCGATCCCTGAAGCATCAGCGAACCCATGTAATTCAACATACTCAAAATGAGGAACCAATACATGTCTTGGAACCCGAATGTTTCTAACCTGACCCAAGGAGGAACGGAA